ACACTCACCCTGCTGTCCAAAATCTGCTAATGCCCCACTTCGACCCATGTCCTGCCAAACAAAAAGTCTGTCATGCAGTTTGTTTGGAGCTAAATGCAGTCACAGCATGAACACAGATGTCATCTCTATTAAATATGTTGTTAGAAAATGTACCTGGGTGTTAACGTTCCGAGTCATCTTGTTGTATTCCTCGTTTGCCAGTCTGGCTTTGATTCTCTCCAGTCGTGCCTCCAGCTCAGGGTTCTAGACACGGAAGCCAAAGGCACTCCATTAGACCTGTAGTTTCTGTGCCTTGATGTGAAAGGACAACACTCGGATTCCACTGGGTGACGGTGGCACAGGGGTAAACTGCCCACCCCGTAACCAGACAGCTGCGGGTTCGAGCGCCGTCTGTTGCAGTCATTGTGTCCTTGAGCAAGACACCTCCTTGCCTGCTGGTGGTGGTCGGAGGGCCCGGTGGTACCGGCGCACGGCAGCTCTGTCAGTGTGCCTCAGGGCAGCTGTGGCTACAATGTAGCACGTCACCACCAAGGTGTGAACGAATGAATGAATGACTGTGTTTTTAAGCACCTTGGGGGTTTGTAGAACCCTAGAAGACAGGCCATCAACCATTTTACCACTCTTTCCTCCGGCTTCTCCCTTGTTCTTAAACACCTCCTCGTGGTGGTCAGAGGGACGGGTGGCGCCTGTGTGCGGCAGACTCGCCTCTGTCTGTGCGCCCCAGGGCAGCTGTGGCTACAGTGTAGCTCATCACCACCAGGGTGTGAATGTGTGAATGACTGATCATGTTGTAAAGCATCTGGGGGGTTCCAGGACTCTAGAAAGCGCTTTACCAAATACAGGTCATTTAAACATCAGCACCAGAACACCAGACAAAGGGCGGTTCCTGCTGGAAAAGCCCTGCAATGTGGCTGATTTCTAACCATTCAGTATAAAACGAACGCAGGTTTTTCACATAGGGCCTTGTTGGGTTTTAATAGCTTTTGTTTACATTTCAAAAAACAAAACATCTTTTGAAAAATGCATATTTTATTTTACTTGGGGTATCTGTCTGAACTGGAATGTGTTTGCTGATCTGCAGAGACAAACACGTTTTATTAACTACTTTGAAAATACCCACAAGTATGCAAACAGTGTGTGGATGTGTAAACCTGCGCTTACTCTGGGAGGCTTGACAGCTTCAGGGAGGTGCAGTGAGCTGTCCTCCAGGAACTCATACAGGTAGAGAGGATGAGCTGCAGAAACACAGGACGTGTTACTGATGGCGCTTCGGCACTGACGTCATGTTTACAATGTGTTCTCCATTTAGACCAGGAGAGATGACACGACGGTCTTAATAACAAATCCAAGGGCATCGTGTGATCTCTGCTTACCTTCGTCCTGCAGGTGTTGGTAAAGTCTTCGAGCCGTTTGGAACGATAGAATTGGTGAATGGCATTTTTCTAGAAAGCCCTCCAGTTCTTCCTTTAATTCTAGAGGCAGAGCTGAATTTGGGTTCTCCAGCAACTCTCTCACACGACGTCTGAATTTCTCACCGACAACAAACGAAGTCGCCATGATGCTGATCTCACTAATATTGGTTAGAAAGATATCTGATCACGGAGCCAGTCTTTATTTCGATTCTACGCGATTAAACGTGGTTTGAACGGATTTTAGCAGCTAGCCGTAACTAGTCGAGTAGGCAGCCATATTGTTGGTCTTGTGACTCACGCTGACCCACGTGACCAGCTAAAAATATAGATTTTGAGTTGCTAGATTTAGAAAATTAGAAATGAGAAAATTTATTTTAAATTCTGAGTGTATTTAATTTCTTGTCATATTATTTTTATTAAAAAAAATTGGTTGTTTTAGCATCAAGGGCGCTCGCTACGTTGAAGCCCTCATAAATGGAAAAATGATGAATAAAAATGTAAATGTGTGTATTTATTACTGAACCGAAAAACAAACGTTAGCTTTACTTGAGAAATAATTATTGCAATTTTAATTCTCGACCGTAAGAATGCAATTCTGACAACTTTATATCCGACATGACATGATATACTGATCAATGTGGAACGATGGATCTGGTACAAAGACGTGTTTCCTGTCCATCGAGGCCCACTGCGTCACGTGGTTCCGGTGGAGCCTAGACAAGGCAGAAAGTACAGGGAAAGATGGCGGCCTGTGCCTTACGGCGAACCTTCCTGAGCAGTGTCAGCAACTACAGCAAGAAACACACACAGAGAATACTGAGTGTGACGGACACCTGTAGCGGGTTTGAGGCGTATAAAAAGCGGTTACAGTGCCGAGCCTGCGGGCTACAGCAGAGCCAGAAGCGGTTTATGTCGTCACGGTAAGCCAGTGTCCTTCTGTCAGAGCTAGCATGCTAACGGCTGTATGCAAGAGTAAGCTAATGTTTGGCACGGTGGGAAACCACTCTGGACACTCTTGTGCTTTTTGCAGCCAATCATTAGAAATGATGAATTTAGCCAAGTCATGACCGTCTGATCCGACTGAGTGCGTCCAAACGAGTCAAATCAGAACATGTGAGCTAACACATGCACACCCACGTTTAATCAAAAGTTGAGGTTTAAGATCAGTATAGAACTGTTTATCTGCATTAATGTTTAGAGCTTTTAACTCGTTACCAATAAAAACAAAAGATTATCCAGTGTCATATTAATTCTTGTCCATTCTGTGACATGTACAAACATTGTGTTTGTCACAGAGAAAAGCTAATTGTGGCACAATTCACACTATCCTCTTAATTGTTTTGGTGGCAAACTTTTTGTGCACCTTCTCAGTAAAATAAATCACATCTTTAGTTTTTACTTTTATAAGCAGAAGAGTTCTGACTCCAGCTGAAAGATTGTGTTATGCTGATGATCTCGGTGACGTCCAGTGCTAAATTCCCATCAGTACACTTAAAGCAAAGAGAAACTAAAGCATAGCAATTAACTAAAGTAAGCTGAACATCTGATACGTATATGTTAGAGCCAACTGTGTGGAGCATCAGTTATAAATGTCAAGGACAGCACTGCTCATCCTGTAGCAACAGCCTGGCCTTTCTGCTGAAGCACTGTGACTTAGCAACCAAGAATCCATCCATTACCGTCCGCTTATCCAGGGTCGAGTCGCAGGAGCAGCAGTATAAGCAGAGGCCCAGACTTCCCCCTCACTATCCGCTTTGGCCAGCTCCTCCAGAGGACTCCCAAGGCCTGCCGAGACACAGTCCCTCCAGTGTGTCCTGGGTCTTTCTTTATGTCTTCCCCTGGTTGGATGTGTCTGGAAAACCTCACCAGAGAGATGTTCAGGAGGCATCTTGACCAGATTTCCAAGCCACCTCAACTGGCTCTTCTTGATGTGAAGGAGCAGCAGGTCTACTCCGAACCCCTCCCGGATGACGGATCTTCACACCCTATCTCTAAGGGAGAGCCCAGACACCCTGTGATGAAAACTCATTTCGGCCGCTTGTATCTGCGATCTCGTTCTTTCGGTCACTACCCAAAGTTCATGACCATAGGTGAGGGTAGGAACGTAGAGCGACCGGTAAATCGAGAGCTTTGCCTTCTGACTCAGCTCTCTCTTCACCACGACAGACCGGAACAACGCCCGCATCACTGCAGATGCAGCACCAATCCGCCTATCGATCTCACGCTCCAGTTTTCCCTCATTCGTGAACAAGACCTCCGAGATACTTAAACTCCTCCCCTTGGGGCAGGACCTCATCCCTGACCTGGAGAAGGCATTCTACCCTTTTTAATAATAGCTAAGAATATAAATGGAAAACTTTCTATGGAATTAAAAATCTAGTATGTTGTTGTTACACTAGACAACAGATTTCCAGTGTGAGATGTTTTCCTAGCAGGACAGTGGCACCTCAGTCGATGGAAGGCAGGAACCAAATCTTCCTCTGCTGGATTGACAGTGATTTGTTTTGAAGCACGTTTGTTGTGGTAGATTTGTTTCCTATCATCCCATAATGAGGATGGTTTATGTTTAAAATCTGGAGGATTGGAACAAACATCTGTGTTATCTGCAGGCTCTTAAGATAGTTCTAAAGCAGCACAGTGTGACTTAAAAATATAAATGCAGACCAGGACTGTGAATGTGCTGCACGTCAATGCTGCTTTAATTTAGTGTTATTCACGCTTTCATCTTATTTTCAAATACTTTTCAAAATGTTTGTACTGTCTGATTAGCACTTGTTTTTTACTTTGCAAAAGAAAAGAATATAATAAACTTTAGTTTGTTTCTCTGGAAAATTTACTGAAGCTGCAACAGATGTTTTTCTAACGTCACAAGTATGCAGTGTTACCACTGGTGTTTCTAACGTGGGGCAGTGTTTCATTAAGTGCAGTATAGCTGGTGTCAGTAGACACAATGCCTCCCAGAGAAAACAAATCTTATAGTTCATGCATTGTTATTAATTGCTAAAATTTAGTGTATTTAAGTCATCTTAATCTTCATTTCGCATGGCCCTGATTCAGGAAAAACTGTAAAGAGTTCATGACCTCTCACTGACAATAGACACTCGATACGGTAGAAAAATAGTACAGACTAAACATAAACTACAAGTAAATGGGTAGATATGATAGATGGTTCTGTACCAGAGAAAGTTAAGTCAAAGAAGGAGTCTTGATCACTTGTTTTTGTTCAAATTAATGACTAGTTTAATGTTTGCATTCATTCCAGTCCAGTTCACTTCCAGTTTGGTTCCAGATCTACTCTGCACTAGTTCCTACAGACGGACAGAAACGTGTTCAGGGTGCTTTAATCTGTCTGGTACAGGATTAAAATGGGTCTGTTTGTGATAAAACTCCACACTGGTAAATACTTCAAAGTGACTCTCACAGAGAAAAGGCCGAGTTCTTACAAACAACTTTAAAGTTCAGAGACAAGCCGCTGCTATAATCTGTGTGTTTGAGCGTTAATCTGATTGGATTCACCCGACCATAGCAGAGAGGAGAGAGAGAGACTCGCACAGGAGGAGGGGAGGGACACTTTTTGACACAACACCGGCCTCACTCAGACGTCTCTGTTGTATTTAAGTGTTCACTTGTTCACTCTACGCTGCAGCTGCACTATTTCTTAAGTCATAAATGCATCTGGAACTTCCTGTTATGTGTTGCCCATAAACTGTCCCGTGCTGCACTTCTTCACTTATGGGCCATTCCCATCTGTACCGGGTCGGCCCGGGCCGGGTAGCGTAGGTTGTTTACATATCTGGGCGGCCTGGTATTTTTCCGGACCAACCAAGGCTCATTCTCAGCCCTCTTCTCGAGGGGGTCTGCTTCAGCCCGACCAGGGCCAACATGCCCACTGCTGACAGCAAATTCACACCTTCCATTAGAGCAAGCCTCTGATTGGTGGCTAGAATCAGCCCACATGGGCTTAAGACAAGGATGTGTGGAATCAACCGGGCCAGGCTGGGGCTGACTGGGGCTATCCGGCCCGGGCCGACCCGGTACAGATGGGAATGACCCATTAGAGTTCCACCTTTTACATTGTGGTATTACCCCGGCTTTCCACCGGAGCCGTCAGCAGCGCGAGTCGGCCGCGTCTCAGGAGCAGCATGTCGCGGCCTTTACGCGCCGGTTCTATTTTCTACGTGCAACGCCTCTAAAACGGGTCAAGTTCGACATTTTTGGGGAAGGAAAGACAGGAAATCGGACGCGGAAATGGAGAGAAGCTCCCGAGATTTTCAGAATAAAGAACGTACTGCCTTCCGGTTGCTTTACTTTTAAAAAAGGTTACTAACTGTGCGTCCCCGTGAGAAGTTATCACCTAGCTAGCGGTCTCCTTTGTTTTTCAGGTCCGTATTGGCGATTATAAAACGGACAGAACATAAAACACAAACCATGTTGTAGTTTTCTCCTGCTTGTTGTTGTGTTTACTGACGAAGTCACTCGTGTGACTTCGTGCTCGGTCGGTGACAGCTGCTCCCCTGCTGCTTCGCGTCTCGTGGGAAGGGCCAAGCAGCAGCTTACGCCAGCAAGACGTGCTGCTGACGGCTCCGGTGGAAAGCCGGGGTTAGATATCGTTAATGAAATCTGTTTTGAGCATTTTTAATCCGTTCAGAATCACTTACTCTTTGTGAAATTGATTATAAGCTCCCGATATGGAAAACGTCGCAAACCCCGATGAAAGAAAAAAAAGATCTTTTATATAGTGCCTCTAAAACTAAAAATCACCTGATTCACAGCACTTTTCTCTTATTGGATCTAGCTACGCGATCATAGCGTCCAGACGTAGTGGTTCTGTTTTGGTGTTTTCACTCCGGTGGTCGTGGCTCATTGTTGTGAATTCAAAGCTGCAGCACCGACCAACTGGATATGATCCATCTCAGAAAGGCTTTTTGTCACCAGAAATAACAAAACTGAGTGAAATATCACCAGTCCAGGTGGGTGAGTGTGACTCACTCTGTTCATGTTCAAATTCAATTCAAGTTTATTTATAAAGCGCCAAATCACAACAAGCGTCGTCTCAAGGACCTTCACATAGTTAACATTCCAGTACAGGTCAGGTCATTAAGCCAATCAGAAAAAAGGTTCCTATATAAGGAACCCAGCAGGTTGCATCGAGTCACTGACGAGTGTCAGTGACTATACAGCAATCCTCATACTAAGTAAGCATGCAGCGACAGTGGAGAGGAAAACTCCCTTTTAACAGGAAGAAACCTCCAGAGAATCCTGGCTCAGTATAAGCAGCCATCCTCCACGACTCACTGGGGATGGAGAAGACAGAGCAGACACACACACACACACACACACACACACACGCACGCACGCACGAAACCAGTGTTTTCTACGAGCAAGCAGCTATAAGGTTTTAAGTTTTGTTTTTAACCTTAAGAAGGGTTTCACGTACCAAAATCGTCTACAGTTACTGGTCCAAGCTCCTGTTGGCTTTTAGTTTATTCTAAATAATGACCTTCAATATATTTACCTTTAAACTTCCAGTGAAATTGGGTTATCTTATGTTTGTTCTTGTGAAAACACAACCAGCCAGCGCAGCAGCTCGGTCTGACCACGTCTCATTAATCCCTACTCTTCATGTCTGTGCAGATTAGCTCTGCATGGAGCAGACAAGTATGAGTGTTATTTATGTGAAGAGACCAGCTGTTCAGCTGTGGTCCGAGTGTTTGTTGTTGACAGACGGACGGTAGCGGTGTGACCTGGTGCTATTTCTGTTAGATGACCTCAAACAGAGGTGACTGTATTAAAGTTATGATTGGGATTAGCGGCTGAAGGGAGGCAGCCAATCATCCCTCTGCTCTGAACCCTGATGCACGCTGGCCCTCGTATCCCATGCGGATCCCCGGCTGTGCTGTGTGTGAATGTTGTGTCTGTGTTGTCAGGAACAGGCCCGAAGGAAAGATTTTGGAGACTGTTGGAGTGTTTGAGACCGTAAAGCAGCACGGCAAATACGAGACAGGACAGGTACGTCTCCTAATGAGCATATCATACACGTCCATTGTTTTGGTTATTTAATGTAGCTCTAATCTGTACCATTCTCACTGTTTTAAGCTGTTTGGTTATTATAGTACACTTGTATGATCTTGTCAAGTGAGGGTAATCCCATCTAACCAATGCTGTGTTCAACGTCGGCATAAAACCTCAGAGTGATTTATCCTCCCCCTCCCTGTTCTGCTTCCATCAGCTGTTTCTTCACAGCGTATTTGGCTACAGGGGCATTGTCCTGTTTCCTTGGCACGCCCGCCTCTATGACCGAGACATCACCCCTCCCGTGTCCGACAGGTGAGCCACATGTGCCTGAACACTTCCTCCTCTGGCTTTACATTTATCTGTGTGAACTTAGTCAGCTCCGCCTCTTCCTGTAGCAAGCCCGATCCCCCCGGAGCCCACGGCTCCAAAGAGGTGAAGGGGAAGACTCACACCTACTACCAGGTCCTCATCGACACCAGAGACTGCCCTCACATAGTAAGTCTGAAATCAACAACATTACGATCATTCTGTCACCATTCAGTGTACAAAATGTTGTTCCTGCTAGAACCACCAAACACACTCACCCCTACAGTTCCCTTGTGGTTGTTGATTTAAACCAACAACAGTAGAATTGTAAACAATGCTACAGAATAGATCACTTAAACTCTTAAAGTGGCAAAGCATCTGTAGAGATCCTCTGGCCCTTTTCCACCCTGACTACAAGGTTCAGGTGATTTTCCATTACAGGGGAGAACCTGCTTTAGTTGTGGGGTGTTGTCTTAACTGGGAGGCTCCCACGGCTGGGAGGAAAAGGGTTAAACGTGACCATCACAACGGGCAGGGCAACAAAACCAGAGCCATATATGTTTCAGAGTAACTTTTCCTTTATAGACATTTGAGAACGGGTCGATAGAACTTCACCCGAGCAGATGGACGTGCTGCTAATAGCTAAGGTTAGAGTAGCTTTAGCCTGCTGCAGGTTACAGGCTATATGGCTGGTAAAGAAAAAAGAACGAGCCCTCCTAATGGAAAGCTGGAAAAACAAGACGGAGGAAACGGCGAATGACGTTGTTGAAAATAAAGGACTGAACCGTTGAGTCATGTGGATGTAGTTTGGCTGGTAGCAGCTACGAGCTAGTAGCAGCTAGCTCTCAGACTCGACCTGTTTACTAAACTGCAGAGAAAAAATCGTTCTAACTAAATCACAGGAGATGTCCACAAGGTTTGGAAGCCTGTGTGTTGGTGGTGTCTTAAAAACCAACAACGTTTACAGGAACTTTACTGTCAAACGAAGTATTTTACTCAGGGTGTTTTTTCTGCTCAACATTTGAGTCCTTAACCCAAACCGGGTCCATATGACCAATGTTACCTCGACTTTTTTGCAAGCATGTCTTCATTTCATTTACCGCGCAGCAGCCAACGCTGCGCTCCTCCAGAGCTGACTCATTTTGACACCTTTCATGTGCTTTCGCGGTCGAACAGAGTCAAAATCACTACTGGTGGCTAGGGCTGGGCAATATATCCATATTTTTAAAACATCGATTATAATTTCAACCACGAAACAAGATTACTTTATATCGATATAACCCAGCTAGCAGTTGTGCTAGCGACTAGCTTCCTCAGTCTCTAAGCTACATTAGATGTATTCTCACAAGTGTGCGCAATCAGAAAACCTCTGGTTCAATGTTCTGCCCTAAACTTTGCATTTGGCTTCCTAGTTTTTAACTATTTGGGGAAGTTTGTTCGTGTTTCAGCGAGCCTTTTCACTGTGGCTCCCGTCCCGATGCCGTATCCTCCTGTTTGTGCGGAGAGACGGTCCAAACCCCTCCCCTTGTAATCCGGAAACATCTACGGAAAGCCGGAGTGGCAGAATTACCTCAAACGTGTTGTAACGGTTTGAATAGTTAAGGCTTTATTTTGAAGGTGAGTTCAGGAAGGGATTGTTCCAGTTCTGGTTTTTTCCACCGTGTTATGTTAGGAAATACTCCGTGTAGGGCTGGGGGTAAACGATTATTTTTAAAACGATTATTCTGACGATTATTTTATCGAATAGTCGACTATTCTAATGACTATTTAGAAAATTAATCTAATGATTATTTTTCTATTGCACAATTAACAAAAACCAGAAAATCTCAAATAAATTCCTTAAAAAAATTGATAAATTCTTACTGTAAGAGAATAAACTCTACAGGCCTTCCATTTTGTATAACACTGCGTTTATTGTGTTGGTTGGTTATGTTCTGGTGACGTGTAGACCTTGGGAGTGCAGGCTGCTGCCTGAGAGGTGGTAGAAGATGGAGTGTCTCCATGCTGCTTTGTTTTGGTCACTTATGTGCGTGAGGCGAGTGGTCTTACGGGTTAAACCAAACTCAGGTGATATTTTACACTAAACCGAAAACCCACAACACTCTAAATGTAATAAAAGGGAGATCTGCACCACAAAAAAGATGAACTCTAAACCAAAACGTAACAGCTTATCCCAACGCAAGAAGCTGTTAGCGAAGATGCTAACAGTAGCTTTACCAACATTAAGTTCAAGTTACCAAGTTTAAATAAACCAAAAACACCTAGCAGCAAACAGACCAGCACGGAGGAGAGACTGCTACCACCAAAACAGCTCTCCTCATGTCTGAAAGAAGCTCCTTTATGAAGGGAGAAACGCTCCCGGTGATTTTCTACATCTGCGATAGACACGAAGCAGCGCATCTGACCCCGGAAGTTGTTGCCCGTTGCCGGGAGACGAAGGGGCAAAACAGGAAAATAATCTAATAGTGGACGGACGTTGTTCCGGGTCTTCAGTATTTGGTGGAGATGTTAGTGAAGGCGGAGAAGAGGGCGAACTAGAGGAAAAACAGGCAGATTCCTCCTCTATTTACAAACTCCTGGGGATGCAACAAGTGGGCGCGGTGCGTCGACTTCCGGATCTGACGTCGACAAATTTTTAGAATCGAGCCGTCGACTTCGTCGAGGCTTCGCTACAGCCCTAACTCCGTGGGTCACGGCCAACAGCAGCCCAAAAATAATCCCATAAAAGTAACCAGAGAGTCTGAGTCATTACAGTATGACCATGTGCCGCCAGCAACTTCAGCAGATGATACGGTGGCTGGTAAGGGTCACCGCGCCTACACCGCAGCCACGGTAACCCACCGAGATAATAACCTTCTTGTTTTTTTTTAAATATATTATTATTGTCAACTTTTTTACCGGGGTTTACCGCTACACCGGTTACCGTGACAACCCTAGATCGGAGCATCCCTAGTGAGGACCCTAACCCAGTCATCACCAGTGAGGTAGACTCCTCCATTCATCAGACTCTTCTTTCTGTGTTTGACAGTCTCAGAGGTCTCAGACTGAAGCAGTGACGTTTCTAGCCAACCATGATGACAGCAGAGCTCTGTACGCCATTCCAGGTACGCTGGCGCTCACTGTTCCCATTGACACATCTGACTTAACATCATGGAGAGTTTCTGTATTTCTACCAGCTGTTTTTATTAGATGTTTTTGTCACTGAGGATGTCCTGGTTCCCAACTCTAGTACCTCACTAACCGAGTGCCGATGTTAGCGGCTGGTGTGGTGTCGGGACCGAGGAGGTCATCTTCAGCTGTGTGACCGTTTTGTCATTTCCTTCCTTCAGGTCTGGACTATGTGAGCCATGAGGACATCTTGCCCTATAACTCTACAGAGCAGATCCCAATCCAGCATGAACTGTTTGAGCGCTTCCTCATGTACAACCCAACAAAATGTAAACACTCTTTTGTCTCTTCACTGGTTTTCTCACCAACCCTTTACAACACACCGGATTGCCGCGGTAGTGGCTGACTGTACTACTGAATAATCAGAAAAATCATAGACGTAGAGAACGATGCGCCGCTCAAGCAGAAACACATTCACCCTACCTAATGAGGTAGGGTCATTCTCAACGTGCAGGGAGAAGGTCTGGGAAATGAAACTGTTCATTTCAACTAGATTAAAGGGGCATTATGGAAGTTTGACAGCCAAAACATGTATAGAAATAATAAATTCATACGTTCTCCTGCAATGCCCTGGTCCTGTAGAATGAGCCCTGGCATTTTTACTGTGGTTGCCTGTTTTTCTGTAAAATCACAGAAAAAGAGAGATGCTCGGGTCGAGCAGGCTGCTTCATGCGCGTTCACGCTCAGGCATCGCCCTCCGAACCGTTCTTTGAACGTTGTTTCAGGTGTCATCAGGACATAAATGTTACAGATACAGAAGACGCCACTGGCGATTTAGCTCGCCTTGTAAGATTTCGGGCTTTCGCGCAGAAGACCCGGGTTTGATTCTGGATGTGACCATGGTTGTTTTAGAGTTTCTTTTTTACATTAATGGTATATTTTTTACAGTAAGATGTCCAAATTTTTATTTGAGACTCGCCGAACGGCACTGAATTCACAGATAAAAAGATGTGGGTTCAACTTTTATTTTGGAACAATTTTTCAAGCAAGGGAAGGGAATGATCTGAGCATGCAGGAGGACTGACCCATCATAAACCTTTGTGGGCTGTGCTGAAGAGAAAGCTACAGAACCACATTACTTAATTAGCTGCGCGTTCTCCAGTCCTTTGTTCTCCGGGACACACACACACACACACACACACACACACACACACACACACGGGACTGTCAGCTCTTGGAGCTCTGTGAAGCTGACGGGGGTCAGCTTCACAGAGCTCCGTCTCAGCTGTTATTTTCGTAAAGGAGCGTGCACGTACAGCATGCGCGCCTCGTGCACAAGCCTACTATTGAAGCTGCCGTTACGCTTTTGGCCCGAGGGGGCAATCGTAAGCATAAAAATTCAAAACTCCGTAAAGCCCCTTTAAATACAATGATGTTTTATTGTAAACTATAAAAGAAAACAAAGGTGTTGAGTAAATCTTTGTGTTCTGTCTGAATATCAAAGCCCCTCCGTTCACCGCCAGAGACACCCTGAAGGCGTGGCAGGAGAAGAACCACCCCTGGTTGGAGCTGTCTGATGTTCACAGAGAGACCACCGAGAACATCCGAGTCACCGTAATTCCCTTCTACATGGGAATGAGGGTAGGCTCATTATGTTTCCTCCCAACTCAAGTGAATCGCAGCAGCTCTGATGGTTTAGTTGGTTTACCTTTTACTGGTTCTGTTTTCTCTACTGGAAACCTAACTGGTGACTCTTGTTGTTCCTCCCAGGAGGCCCAGAACTCCCACGTCTATTGGGTGAGTAGTGTACACTAACATCAGGAAGTCAGCGCAGCCCAAAGCGAGGAGTGCTAACATGGCTGTCCTCTCACAGTGGCGCTACTGTATCCGTCTGGAGAACCTGGGCAATGAGGTGGTTCAGCTGAGAGAACGGCACTGGAGGATCTTCAGCCTGTCGGGAACCCTGGAGACGGTCCGAGGACGAGGCGTTGTAGGCAGGGTTAGCATGCTAGCAAACGCACACACACACACACACACAAGCCTAATGCTAACAAGGGTCTTATTTTTACTTCATGTTTTACTTTGCAACTTTTTCATATATTTAAATAATTTCTTGAGCCAGTATGTGCTAAAATGAACCTTTACAGGGTTGATGTCATGTCAGTCAGACTTACACCACCCTCTGTGGCATGAATGTGGCATTTGCAACTTCAGAGTGCCGGTCCGGTCTGTCAGACTGCGAAAATGTTGAGCTGGCATACCTGGTGCTACGGTCTGCTTCCACTAGGGGGTGCTCAAAGCAAGCCAAAACAGCCTGTCTCCCTTTAGGGGTACAGTTGCCTCATGTAATTAAACAATTTTATTAATTGCAGCAAAATAAAATAGGAGCAAAAATATAGCAGCCGATAGGATAATAATTAAATAAATATAATAATAATAAATCTTTCAACACACCAAGCTGTGAGATTTTTAATTTCCTTTCTGAACTATTTAGTCTGAGTTTTAACGTTTTCAATCTGTTAGGTTGTTACTGACAGCAGAGACATTAAAGTTTCAGTTTCTCTTCTGACTGAATGCTGCTGCAGCAGGTAGGTGAAGGTTCTCCGTCACCCTGGACATCATTCTGATGGTTCAACTAAAAACAGCTGGCCTTGTCTGGTTACGATGGAGACGTCCCAGAGGCTTCTTCAGTACCCACACTTGGTTTGTGGTCAGAAACAAACACCGATGGTGCCACAAGTCTTTCTTTCTTTCTTTTCTTCTTTTCTTCTTTTCTTTTTCTTTCCCTTTCTCTCTTTTTGTTTGTCTTTTTCTTTCTTTATTTTTTCTTTTCTTTTTCTTCTGTTCTCTTTTTTTCTTTTTTCTTTTTCTTATTTTCTTTCTTTTTTCTTTTTCATTTCTTTCTATTTCTTTTCTTTTTCCTTTCTTTCTGTCTTCTTTTTTCTTTTTTCTTTTAGAAATTTTTTTCTTCTAATTTTTTCTTTTTCTCTTATCTTTTTCCTCTTTTTTCTTTCTTCTTTTCTGTTTTCTTTCTCTCTTTTTTCTTATTTATTTTTCTTTCTTTCTCTCTTTCTCCCTTTCTTTTTTCCTATTTTCTTTCCTTCTCTCTTTCTCTTTTTTCTTTTCTTTCTTTCTTTTTCTTTTGTTCTTTCTTTTGTCTTTCTTTTCTTTTTCTTTCGTTCTTTTTGTTTCTTTTTTCTTTTATTTTTTCTTTCCTTTTCGTTTTCTTCTGTTCTTTCTTTCTCTTTTTTTCTTTTTCATTTCTTTTTTTCCTTTCTTTCTTTCTATCTTTCTTTCTTTTTTTACTTTCTTGTTTCTTTTCTTTCTTTTTCTTTTTTCCTTTCTTTTTTCTTTTATTTCTTTTGTCTGTTATTTTATTTTTTCTTTCATTTTTTCTTTCTTTCTTCCTGTCTTCTTTTTTCATTTTTATTCTTTCTTTGTTTTTTAATTTTTTCTCTTTCTTTTTCTTTCCCTTTCTTTTTTTCTTTGTCTTTTTCTTTCTTTATTTTGGTTGTTAGCTGTCTAGCTACATGCTGTTAGGATAGCTGATCCTCACCTACTTATTCACAAGTTGTGCCAAAAAAACTCAACCTCACATCTGCCAATATGAGTATGGTATGTAGAAGTTTGGTCACTAAAGGAGTAAAATCAATGACGAACTTTCCAATATTACACTTTAATGCCAACAGCTGTTATCAGTTTTAGACCGATAATATTGGACACTACTGTAATCCAATCAGAAGCGAGATGTTTGAAAATCATCATTAATAATAATGAGTACGACACCAAATCCTGCCGTTTCCCACCGCAAACTCCTCCGGCTATCTTCTGCTCCCTGAAACAGGACGGCGGGATCTTTATTAAATTAACAAACGACACAAACAAGTGCTAATAACTCATGTTAATAGCATATCAGAGCTAAAGCACCAGGTGTACGGCTAACAAATGTGTGACTTCATGTAAAAAACAGATCCCTGAATTTTCACCCTTGGAAAGAAAAACTGTCCATGGAGACATTTCTACGTTCATTCTGTTAAAGTATTGTCCAAGTCTTGTACTGGAAATCTGATGACGTGATGAATATTTCAGTTTGCTGTTAACTTTTTATAGAAATCTTTAAAATAAATGGTGTGTGTGTGCGTGTGTGTGTGTGTGTGTGTGTGTGTGTGTGTGTGCGTGTGCGTGTGCGTGTGCGTGTGCGTGTGCGTGTGCGTGTGTGTGTGTGTGTGTGTGTGTGTGTGTGTGTTTGACAGGAGCCAGTGTTATCTAAAGAGCAACCAGCCTTCCAGTACAGCAGCCATGTGTCTCTGCAAGCCCCCAGTGGTCATATGTGGTGAGTGTGTGTGTGTGTGTGTGTGTGTGTGTGTGTGTGTGTGTGTGTGTGTGTGTGTGTGTGTGTGTGTGTGTGTGTGTGTGTGTGTGTGTGTGTGTGTGTGTGTGTGTGTGTGTGTGTGTGTGTGTGTGTGTGTGTGTGTGTGTGTGTGATGTACATGAAGCTCTCACTCACGCCTCCTGCAGGACTCACTTAGCTGTTTCACATGCTTGGTTTTGTTTTAGGGGGACTTTTCGTATTGAACGAACTGATGGCTCCCACTTTGATGTCCGGATTCCTCCTTTTTCCTTGGAGAGCAACAAAGACGACAAAGCGCCCCCTGCTGCTTACACATTCTGAGAGGATTCAGACATCTCGCTGGCCCTGCCTGCTAATCTGCTGCTGTCCTCGGTCTCTAACCCTGCCACAGCATCTGTTCAGGTTACGGGGAACCATCAAAGAAACCCTCCTTTAGTCTGTCAGGAAGCCCCAGCAGCAGCAGGAGTGTGTGATTGATTAACCGACAGTGTAGAAACTGGCTCTGCTGTTCTGTGCATTCTCACCATTCATTTGAAGCCATCTAACAAACCCATGCTGGCGAGTTGACGCGTGTGTCTGACGCGCAGGTACCGGCATATCGAGCAGGTTGTTTTTAACTTGTGTTTCAGGTCGAGGCTTCGCGTCATTCAGAAAGGCGTTTATTCACCGGTCCCCGTTTGAAAACCAGCTCTGTCTTTACAGAGCTTTAGGGGTTTGTTATTTAATGTCAGGAGTTCTGCTCTGCATCTGTTTGTTCTGTTTTTGTCATTCATTATTGGTATGAAATTACAGCTGAGACACTTTGTATAAGTTTTAGACTTTTTACAACAGAGAGTCGACAGTGGAACACACCGGACATCAGTATACGCCATCAGTAAACACTAATTCTGCTTCAGTCACGGACTCGGGAGCAAAAGTGTGTGACGGAAGCTAAAATCCCCAGTTTCATCATGATGAATTATTCTGATCTGACCAAACCCAGACGCTATGCAAACACACAGCGTGTTTGCTTTGATGCGTTGGAGGTTTAAGAGAAAGATGAGCTCTAGTTACTGCCTGGAAATCCACATTAGCCTGTAATAACTTGGACAGAGGAAGGACTTGTGTGTCGCTGTTTCCTTCAGCCTGCAACACATTTGTTCTGTTAGGTATTAATGGTAGCAACAGTTACAAAGGCCATCAGACCTCGTAGATGGTGGATCACCGAACTGTGTTAGACCCTTTGTGAAGCCATGAGAGGATCAAAAAGGTGTTCCAGACCTTTGGATGTGTGTTTCTGTGGAAAAGGGGAATGTTTGACCTGGTTCTGATGGCCTGTCTTTGAGAAACCGTCATCATTACTGAAAGGATAGATGAGCTAACGGCTAGTCTGATACAGTGCTGCTTTGGGTAAGTGTTAGGAACCTGGGTCTGGAAAATTACCATTTATCTCTGGTCATTATTTCATAATTCTGCTGAAATAACCATGAATTAGGAAATTAGTAAGGGCTTCACTTCTATAAAGATTATTTTTATTACTATTTACAAAAAAAGATGTCCACTGTGACTCACTGTTGAGAGCCAGCTAGTCTCCAGAATCCAGCGTTGACAGCCAGGAGAGGATGGTCCTGGTCCTGCGGCGGCTTCAGGGGAGTCTTCAGACTGAATTACAAGCCAAGCTAGCATGTGTCACAGAGATGAGGCACGTTCACCTGTAACTCTTATTTATCTGTGCAGAGACCGCCATGTGAGCCAAACACTTCTCCCCAAGTGAAGACGCTAATGTTGCTCTAGGGAGTGGTTTAAGGAGCTATGATGTTTGAAATACTGTAAATAGAGATGTAATTAAAGCTGGAAGGATTAAAACTCTACAAAAACGGATGTGATGTGATGTGTCTTCTGGTCATGAGCACTGCTGCTTATGTCCTCAGTCTGGACTGTGTGGATCATAGGCGGAGATCACGGGGGGGACGCGTCCCCCCCCCAACACAAAGTTGTCCCCCCCACAAAAGTTATTGTAAACACAAAAATGCTATCAGTAAACCTGTATTGTCTTCTAAAAGCACAACGTAAAAGTTAGTCTGCAAATACAAAACAATGTGATTTTGATTGTTGAGAAATTATAGTCGACCCCCCCCCACCCCCATTTCCTCAAGTTGGTACGGTCGGTCCACACGCGCTGTTTCCAGCGGGCGGGGCTGCCGGCTCTGCCTCGCTCACAGCTTCACAGCAGCTCACAGGAGGCAGGAATCAAAAAGCCAGCGGTTTCCAGCAGTAAGTCATTTATCACACGCTTGTTCTACAAACTTAAAGAGCAAGTCACCCCCTAACAGATTCTTACTCCACTCCCACTTCCTGTTTGAAAAATGCAGCAAATGCTGTTGCCTAGCAGACCGAGAGGGTGGAGCCACTAACAAATACACGCACTCACTACATTGTGACATCATAATGTACCATCTAACATCATAGGGTACCTCTTAGCCAATAGCGACGGAAGATTTAAATTGAAATGCAGTGCTGAGTTTTTACTTGACGACGGCACAATACTGACAGTTTTAGGCAGAATATTTAAATTTTAACTAAGATGCACTAAAGTGCCGAATTAGTGACTACACGTGTCTACAGCACGATCAGACACACATTTATTTAGTTTATCAGCAAAAAAAATGTTGATTTGGAGTGACTTGCTCTTGTATGTCAAATGTGGTCATGAATGTCAAACATAGACACCGATTATCTTTAGATTTTGATCACCGGTCGGTCGGAGGCATGGACGTAATTTTCACTTTAGAAGTGGGGGGGGGGGGGGGGTATCTTTACAGGTTGTTCTAATGGGAAACAGGCTTCAACACAAACGGTTGTTTTCTGCTTGGTCCTAGAGCTCAACCAGTGTCAATTAAATATAGCGTAATATTATTTTTGGATGGTAAAAAGTGCAGGGGTCAAACCTTGACTTTGGAAAGGGGGGGGGGGGGGGGGGGGGACATGCCCCCCCCCCCAAAAAATTACGTCCATGGTCGGAGGTCCCTTTATGACAGACCACCACCGCCACAGTAAAAAACAGTGGTCACTTCATGTTCTCTGGTCATTCCAGGATTATTCCGCTGTGATCAAAAGTTCCTTTTCCCGGACACGTACGCTTTCACTGTCTTCCCTGGAATCTGCGGAGCATTTATAGATCGATGAAAATGTCCGCATTTCATCCTATTTAGCAGATGAATATGGTAGAATCAAAACTAACTGGTCCGATGTGTGGAAAACCACAGCGTTTAACCGCTCTCATCCCGTCTTCCCCAGGCTCTGCAGCTGTTTACAACATGTCAAAGTGCAGGTGCACCGTGCAGCTTAGGGATGAGCTGGTAGCAGCAGATGTGTGGTGGAGGCACGTTGCTCAAAGCTCTCAGTGTAAAACATAGAGCCAAAGATCCCGTTGGACACACAGACCCAAAAACACCATGAAAACTGAGAAAAGTGAGGGATTGATTAAACTGAAAGATAAACTTTAGAGTATGTATATGTTTAGTGTATTTGTAAAGTAAATGTTTTTAATTTTATTATTAAAATGAAACAAATATTTCAAGAATATATTTTTAGATTTGGTGTATCTGTTCGTTCAGTAGGACTTGGATAAAGTTATTAAATATTACAGTTATTCTCTAATAGCCTACAAACATTTCTATGATTTATTAAAGAGATTTCAGTCATTCTGATATTTGACTTGTGAAAGCTGATTTGAAGTGTGTTATTTTTTCTGACATATTTAGAAGGAAAATTTCAAATATATTAAAATCAATATGGAACTATTTGGATTTTAGTAGCTTTCACGTTATGTGATTTAATAAAAATTTAATTTGACATTTATGTTCTCTCTCTCTTTATTGTGAAAAAGTTAGATATGTTTTAGTACTTAAAATTAATGCTTTGCATCCGTCCACACGTGTAGCTGCTGGTCAGCTAATAGCCGTGTCATTTCAGGACATGTTGCTTCAACTATTAACGATCTACGTTTAAATCTTTATTCTGAATTGCTTATTCCGTTTTAGGCCACAGTCTTGTTATTGAAATGAAAACAAAAAGAAAGGATGCTTATGGAGATGTACAAAATTGGCAAGATATTATTGTTGATCAGTATCCTCCAGCTCCGTTCTAATGACAACGTCCCATCTGTGTGTGTGTGTTGCTGTCCAACTGTCAGCAGACCAGGTCAGTTGAAATGGCAGAGAAACGAAAAACGGCAGACGTCAGGTCGTTTTTTAATGCTCCAGAACGTCTAGTAAGTATGTGACAGTGTGTGTCCTGTCATCGTGTCCCGATTGATCATGCGCCCTGGCTCATTGGCCAAGGTGATGTCCCTTTGACTGACTGGTTAGAGCGTATGACTCTCACCCGGGAGTCTGGGGTTCGAATCCCACCCGGGCCCTCGTTTATCCACCTTGCCACAAGTAGAAACTTGCATTTTGATAAAGACATCTATAAGAAAGAAATGAAATTGTTTCTAAATGGTTTCATGAGGCAAAGTCCAGTCACTTGAGCACAGGCAGCCAGAGCCTGTCAGACACAAGCTGACACAGGTCAGTCTCTCATAAGGACATACAGTGTTGTATGTAGAGAGCATTTTTTTCATGTCCCCCCACAAAAATCACTCTCTGAAGTTTTACTGTTTATTGTCGCCCCCCTAAAAAAATAGAAATGGGATTTCCGCCCTCGGTGTGGATTGTGTTGATCCTGAACTGCCCGTTTCCACGGTGTTTAGTTCAGATACCCGTGGTTGATTCTAGTGAGCCACCAGCAGGTGTCAGTAGAGTCGCTGATGGAAAGGATGTTGTCATCCTTTCTGCATGTTTGTGAGTGAGTGGCCTAAAACTAAAAAGTCCAGCACCGCAGTGGAGACCGCACGTTCAGGCCTGCAGACGTGAAGATGTCAGCGGATCCTGCACGCCTCTATGTTACAGCAGCATCACACCTGCGTGTTCTCCCTGGACCGTCATCACCCCGAGAGGAGCTGCGCTCACGTGGCTGCGCCTCCTTCCAGCTCCAGCCACGGGGACGCCTCCGTCCTCCTTCCGCCCCTCCTGGTGAAGTCCAGTCCCCGGAGCTGAAGTCTCCACGCAACCCGAAGATCGAAGCACAGACGCGGCTGCTTTCTGCGCTCAGAGCGGCTGGAGACCCACCCTTGGAGGAGGTCTGATGCATGACTTCCAGCTGCCGAGGAGGAAGGACGCGGAGGAATCGACGGAGGTCTGTAAACACAGCCATGCCCTGCATCATTTGACGCACCGTGTGTTCCTCTAGCCCAGGACGAGGGGGGGTTGCTGTGGGGGACAACAGCCAGAGGGAACCGGGATATTTAGAAGTTGCGTTTGGGATAGGAGGCTGGTGGGCCACGGCCCGGCCCTGAGCACACTTCAGGAGTCGGACATCCTGTGCTGAGCGGCCATGCTGCTGCAGGCTGCACCCTGCGACCTGTTCCCAACCTGAGCTCCACTCGCTGGGATTTCTACTGCAGTTGCCTCTGAACCCATCACAGCCTCATGCGTCAGCTGCAGGAATGATCCTGTGTCTCCAGCTGTTTGGACTCTTGTTTCACATTTCAGCCCCAAACTTAACAGGGATGTGATCAGCTGGTGACATTTTACTCGAAGCCTTCTCAGCACTGATCCAGCCTGTCTTTGCACGACTGCCTGGTGGGACCAGTGTCTTCATCACCATAGCTCACACTGACATCACACCATGGGTGCCAAGCAGACCAAAGGCCAGGAGCCTGGAGGAGCCAGTCCTCAGCACAGCTGGAAGCGGACCCCCACCAAGGAGCGGGGGGACCTCCTGGCTTCCCTCATGCTGAAGTCAGGAGACCGGCTGAACCGTGGAGGGACACCACCTCCCTACCAGCGCCGTATTGGAATGATACAGGAGATGATGCTGATGGCCAAGCAGGGCAAACAGGATGAAGCCACAGAGATGCTGAAGACACTCCGACAGGTAGTTACACATCTGTGTGGATGAGAGGTGATGAGTGAGGAAACCTTCCTTTTCACCACAGTTGATCCCGACAGTGGTGCCGGTCAGCCTGGTGATGCCCGTCATCCCCAGTGGAATAATCCATCCCTCCTTTCCCAGGACATGTAACGCTCAGAGTTACACTGCTACAGCGTGGTTTTACCCTCACTCCTGTGCCTGGCTGGTTAGGAAGACACTCAAACTGGATCAGTGGGTTGTGGTGAGTTCAAAAGGAAGCAGCAGAGACAGTCTCGTCTTTCAGGAGTGGGGTTTTAAAAAGTCATGTTAATAAATCAGCTTGGAGAAAAAAATGCTGACTTTAAAAGAGTAGGGTCGCCCATGGGCTGCATTCCAC